ATTTATGCCAAAAAAAATCGGTTATGTTCTTTGTGTATATGATAATATCATCGTAAAAATAGACCAAATGTTTCTGGCATTGACGAATATCTCTAAGTATTATGGTACCAATCATATTTCTTCTATTGCTTTTTAGCTATCGTGTTCTCATAAAGTAGATTGATGTAAGCAGAATTCTATACCAAAAAAAAAGAGAAGAGAAAATCAAGGAAGAATAATATATTTCTGTTTATCAATTAATTGGTGTCTATATTTTAGTTTTTTCGCGTAATTTACACCTTATCTCTTTTTATTACGTACTATGTTAGTGAAAATTCAACAAATAAGAATCATATTGCAGAAACATATAGAACTCTCGTATTATTTTCTCTACTTATTGACGGATACGTCATACTTACACGTATTCAAAGAATGTAATTACCATGTTATGTACTTTGGTTAAGCATGCACCAGTCCTCTAAGTCATTTAAACGCACTATCGATCAGACTATATAACACTATTGTTAAACTTTGAAAAATAAGACGGGAAGAAAAAAGGACTGAGGGTGACTGCTAAAAAACCCGAAAATTTCCGATTTTTTACCGTTCACCCCGAGTCCTTTATTCTTATTGAGCAACCGATACATCCGCATGATAATCGATTTTTATTTCCTACCTGATTTGTTTGAATAGTGGCTGCAGTTTGCTTTTTACAGCAATGTAGTTTTACACGTTTTTAATATTTACCAAGTTATCTATAAGTTTTATTGTAGTAGTGAAAAATTTTAAAAGAATAAACTAACCATTCTATTTGTATGTTCAAATATTTACTATTTCGTCCAGCATGCAAATAAAAAATAGTCATACTACTAAGTGCACACATACATACACATCGGAAAAGCATCTCTCTAGTCGATTATTTAACTAGTCATTTAAGCTAAGACATTTATATCAAATCACTTAAATATCTGATGTAATTGTTGTTTTATCGTTCTGTCAATTTTTTTGTTTATACAGAAATTGAAAAGACAACTTAATATTATAATATCAAAGAAAGAATAATTAAACATCTTTTTGATGATTATACGGTCTACTGATTTCTATTTAATTATAAGTATAAAATTCTCTTTCGAAAATTGTTTTGTTCTGTATCATCTGATATGTCTAAGTAGATATATCGTATTTTGTTAATATCTGTTCAAGTACACAGATGACATCTTTTTATGGGAAGAGAACAGTTTAGTCTTCTTATTTCATTGGTTATTGATTGTATGTTTCTGTTCCAGCTTATATATACATTTTTTCTATTTTTTATGTCATCCAATATTGTTCTTTCAAGATGTGACATATGATTCATTTGTATATATGATGGGTACAAAATACAAATCGACAAGATTATTCACTTATCCTATTTCACAGATAAATCATAGGTATTTATCTATGTTATATTTCGATTAGATTATAGGGTGAGAGAGAATTCTTCTTCTAGAGTATTCGAATGTTTTTAACGATGATAACATAGTTCGTTTAGTTTTGTTTTGTTTTTTTATTTCGATATACGATGTTTTTTCTTATCTATTCTGACATAAAGAATAAAAGTATTCGCACCATCCGAACATGGTCACATGAGAGATCATATGTCTACATATCCATACTTTCAGAGGAGGAGCACATGCTGTAATTTTTGGGTAAATATATATATATATACATCAAACTATTTATAAATAAACTTTTGCACTTCCTAGTTATATTATAAAAACAAAACTGATATATTTATTTTTGTAGATTTATTTTTTATTATATAACTAAAACGAATGGTTTGTAAATCGAATACTTCTCCGATTAATTTATCCTTTTCTGGATGTGGATTTTTGGGTGTATATCATATTGGTGTTATATGTGCATTTAGAGAACATGCACCTGAAGTATTGGAACGTAAAATGGCAGGCTGTTCAGCTGGTTCACTTGTTGCTGCTTGTGCATTAAGTGGTTGTTGTCTTGGACAAATGTGTAGTGATGCACTTGAAATAGCTATACGAGCAAGAAGTCGAGCATTAGGACCATTACATCCAACATTTAGTATTGTTGATATTATACGTAATGGTTTGAGAAGAATTTTACCACCAAATGCACATCAAATATGTTCTGGACGTTTATTTATCTCATTAACACGTTGGAAAGATAATAAAAATGTTATTATTAATGAATTTCATACACGTGAAGAACTTATTCAAGTTTTAATATGTTCAAGTTTCGTACCATATTGGTCTGGAATACTTCCTCATAAATTCCGTGGAGAAGTAAAATATTTATAAGAATTTATAAAAAGAAAATTTCTAATTTTGTTTTTGTCTTTTATTTTAGTATTATTGGGATGGTGGTTTAACTAATAATAATCCAATTATTGATGAAGGAACTATTTTAGTTTCACCATTTGCTGGTGAAAGTGATATTTGTCCAAGAGATGAATCCGGATCATTTTATAGTGTTGATTTTCGTGGTACAGATATTTCATGTACACAAGAGAATTTATATCGTATGACGCGTGCTTTATTTCCACCCAATATTTCCGTTTTGAAACAAATTTGTTGGCGTGGATATATTGATGGTTTAAAATTTTTACAAACAAGAAGTAATTCATGAATTGTTTTTGCAAATTTATTAATACAATATATTTGATTTAGATATGGTTATATCATCACATTTAAGTACAAAAACAACAATATCATCTGTACTTGGTGATGATTATACTGAACCAGCTACTGAAGATGAAAAACAATTAGGTAATGGTGGAATTGGTCAAGATGTTAATCGAATGTATGAACAGTTAGATGATGTTGAAGAAGAATCTATGGATGATTTTGAATATTCCGATGATGATGATGATGCATGTCAATCATATGATGAATCAAATGCTGCTAATAGTCAAGTAGCATTTAGTCCATTCTGTGAAAAAATAACACGAAAAAAAGAATTACCAACATCATTATATGCTGGTAAGAACTTTTATTGAAATCAATTTTTATTTTTTTATTTTTATTTCTAGTATTTGCTGATGCAAGACAAAAAGAAGAAGATCCAATAGGAAGATATTTTACAGATTCACGTCTTTATAAAGTATGGTCACTTATGGCTTTACCAGTGACATTACCTATTGATATGACTTATGCATTAACGAAAAGGTATGAAACAATTTAACATCATAGTTTTTAAAATTAGTGTACTAGAAATGGGCAAGATAAATAGCGCTTATCATTTGAGTAGACAAACGAATGACGTCATTGAGTCACATGGCGCGGATTTTATTATTATATGACCTGACCTTCGCTTATGAAAGTCAGACTAGATTTTATTTTATATTGTTTTCTATTTAGAGTATTAGGTGTTTTTCGTCCACCACAAGATACTACTAAACCAGCATCATCAAATCGTGCAGTAAATTTTCTTTGGTCATTATTTACTGATGACAATAGTGATAAATATTGTTATCATGTTAATGAGTAAATAAATTACAATTTACTTTTTATCTTTATTTAATTTGATCTTGTTTTAGTTGTGAATGTACAGAAAGTCGTGCATCATCAATAGCAGCCTCTTCAAATCATCAGCAACGTCGACATCGTCCTCATCGTCGTCGTCCTCGTCATCAATCATCATCTCGATTGAATCCGCATCGTACAAATTCTAATATACAACATCAAACACATGCACCAATGAGTACGGTAACATCATACAGATCAGATTCAACAAGTGATCATGAAGACATTTCAACGATAAATGATGATAATGATACACAAGATTTATCATCAGACTTAAATGTATCTCAACCTGATATAGTTACATCTGCAAAATCCACGACACTAAATGAAGAATATTGTCGTCAATTACAACAAATGGCTAATTTATCAAATCAACAAATATTTCATGAACAGTCATCATCTACAACATTGCCATTTTTTGGTAAAAATGATCATGTTATAAATACAGAATCTAATCCATTACCGACATCAACACTTGAAGAAAATGTTTTATTTAATTAGTAATAAAGACAATGTCTTTAGCTACCGGTGTTTTTCCGAGTTTTTATATTGATATTGTATATAAGATTCTTATATTTTGTGTTTGTATATATATATATATGTTTATTTCTGTTGTATTTGAAAATTCAATGTACTTTTTTTTCTGTTTCTCTGTTATGTGTATTAGACAAACGATGATTTATTTATGAGGAAGACGAAGAAGAAGAAAATCGGAAGTATTCATTTATATTTAAACAAGCGACGTATTTTTTTTCATTTATACTTTAATACGGGTCTGATTATTTGTAACAGTGTGTATATTTTCTGTTCTTATAGAAGTTATTCGTTGATATTTGTTTAATTGTTTTGTTTTTGTCAGATATAAAGTTTGATAAGAAAGATACAATAACAATTTCTTTATAATTTTATTGTTTTTATTTCAAACATAAAGCTTTTATTCAATTGACATCAAAAAAGAAAAAGAACACACTACTACGTTCTTTTTTTTCAATTCTTCTCGACTTTTTCTTTTTCTTCAGATGATGTCATCATATATACGTCCATGTTAAAAGTACTCCTACATTCATTTCTTCTCCTTTTACCCTTCGCATATGGTTACCAATGTTGTTTTTTTACGAAGAAGAGAAAGAGAAAGTATGACACTCTATATTTGTGTTTGATGGTCGACGTCGAAGGGGGAGAAGACGCAGAACGACTACCTATATTGAGTTGAGCTCTCTTTTTTTTTCTTTCTGTATTTTAACCCTTCGGGTAAATGTAGAAGGCGAATGAATACGAATTGAACGACACAAATCAAGGTATATCTTACCAATTCTTACACTCTTTTTCATCTTCTTACGTCATAGTAACTAACGAACTCATCAAATTTTTTCATTTTAGATATCTGTTAGTGTATACTTATTTTTTTTCTTCTTCTTCTTCTTCTTCTTTTTCTCTTTTTGTTCTTTTCCTCTTTTCGTAATATTTCATTATCCTTTGAAAATGGATTTTCTTTCAACCAATAATTTATCATGTAATGATGATACTTTAGCAGTTAATAGTAACACAATAAAAAAATTACCTACAATTAATTATGAACAAAATAATGAGCAATATATAACAACATTTTCAACATGGAATGAAAATGAACAATTATGTTTTGTTGAAAATTTATTAAAACATATGCAAAGTCAGCAACATGTTCAAGACCATACGAAGCAAGACGTCCGATAAAATCTCG